CTGGAAATGTCATTAAAACAATTGATTCCGTTTGAAGCATCAATTGTATACTAGGGAAAAGCTATTTTAAAATAATGATTGTAAATGGACCAAGATGCTACAAAAAAGGAAAAAGGAAAGGGAAAGGAAATGAAATGAGGATGATATGATTACTAATATGCGATCAGAGAGAATAAAACAAAAACATCAGAGAAATTTATATGCGATGAAAATATAAGAAAAAAACACGAGTGGGCTCATTGCGATTCGGAACTCGAACTATACTATCGTTGAGCAGTTTTTAGACCCCTACACCACCGATAATTTTCTTAAGAGGTAAAGATGAACTCTTGCTACTTCAGCGAGTCAAATCGCGGAAGAATTTCCATGGATTGTCTTTTTCCGCCACCCGAAGGGATGACGTGCCAGTCAAATGCGTTTTTGAAGAAATGATCGATCCCCATCATCGCTTCATCTCCACACATCTATTCATGTGCAAATGATGGCACGCTCAGGCAACAAGGTTCTGTGACGAAATCATTTTTGCCTCCAGAGTCTCCAAAATGTGTACATCTTAGCGATCAAACGTCCAATCACGGAGAAAAATGGCTCGCGGAGCGAGCCGACTGTCGAATGTCACTCGCGTAGCGAGTGATCGGTGNGCAGCCCTTGGCTGGCCGTGACGGACGCGCATTGCGCGTCCAGAACGGCTTTTTTATATATATCGACGGTGAAACTACCAATCCACGTATCTCGTTTGCGGTGTTTAAAAATCTATGTTCACATTTTATTTTTTTTAAGTAGACCAAATCAATATCATTCCTTGAAAGTTTCACGGAATTTTCTCCGCACAAAGAGGAAAAATCACAGACATTTTCAAGACTGGATGTTAAGTAGTTTTTCATTTAAAAAATTAAGTATGACAGGAAGTCTGCGACGTCGCAAACCGAGATACGTGGTTTGGTAGTTTCACCGTCGATATATCCTTTTATCATTTTTGTTTCATTAAAACTGTTTAGTGTAGCAATTTCCAAGAATATCGTTGCTGTCGATCATGTAATCGGCGCTGCGCTGGGGACGTTTATGCTTGCTAAATTTCCCTCCAAAATGGTGGAGCTCCACGGCAGCAGCACACGGTACGGCTCCGTTGAAGGAAAGTTATTTGAAAAGTGAATGTACATCTCCGATCTCTTCGGTATCTTCAAGTAGGGTAAAAATACTATGTTTTTAGCCAAAAACCGAAATGTGTTGTTCGAGCTCCTCGAAAAATATATATATAGACTTTTAGGTTTAATTCTCAAAAAAATCACAAAATCGAAGAGATTTCCATTTTTTTCAGGAACAAATCTTATCGCAAACTAAAATCCAATTATACCGTTAAAAAGCTCTTGCTTTCAGCTTTCTAACGTCAATAGAGTAATTTGAAGCAACTGGCCGCCTACATTACTGCAATAATTTCAAGGAATTTTCCGCCCACTCGGACGGCCGGTTCCCTTCCATTTATCTCGGCTATTTTTGAAGTTAAAAAAAAAAAAAAAAAAAAAAATGTACACCATTAGAAAGACCACACTCTCAGCTTTCTATTGGTATAATAATTTTTTAATTTTGAGCAAACGCCGGCACATAGGAATTTTTCGAAACTATGTCCAAAAACGAAGAGATACGGGTGGCTCCAGTCAAAGTCAATTTCTCGCCGCCAAAATGCACCAAAATTAAAAACCAACATGTCGTTAGAAAGCTAAAATTGTCAGCTTTCGAATGGTACCTTGGTTTTTTGTAGCGTTAAAAAATCTTGATTAAAAAATACGAATCTAAGTCGGTGATGAATCCTTGCATTTTGGCTACTCTTTTTTCTAGGGAGGCATCTCTTAATTTTTCCCCCGTCATTTTTGGGGAGAGTTTGGCCACTCTGAACATTACCTGAGAGTCCTGGGTCTCATATGACACATTCTGAATCACACCTGTCTCAGTGAAAATTCATGGTTGCCAAATTCACGGAACCGTGACGGGCGATCACGGGGGTTAAGTAACGTTGGACTTAAGACGTGTAACGTTAGTACTTAGATGGGAGACCGCTTGGGAATGACCGTGGTGCGGTGATTTCCATGATGACCAAGAATCTCTTACATGTCGGAAACATGCGACGGCTATAGTACGACTTAATTTTCGTGTTTAATCCTTAATATTTTTCTTCTCTGAATCTGCTAGTAGAGACGGCATTTTGGGCACGGAGTAGGGAGCTTCCCATGGGAGCTACTTCAGCCACTTCCCATTAAAGCCACTTCTCGTGGGAGCCAATTCTTAGGGGAATTATTCTCCTGCCCAAAACAGCCTGAGTGAAATTCGCATGAGAAATTTTTAGCAGGTAAGCATTCAACTTATCCTGCCTCTTCTCGAAGAAATTTCGTCAAAGACTCATGATTTGGAAAAATATGCAGCTTTTACAACTTGTTTACCATAAATGAACCTGAATTTGTGCAGTTAAGGTCACCTTTCTTGCAAGAAAACGAATTATAGAACTCAATTCGGACACCGAAACCAAATACAGTGTTACAACTCCAAGAGTTTACCAAATGTAGCTTGACATTTCCGTGTGCTGCAGTCCAAAGCCACCAATAATCAAAGTAGGCACGGTCAATCCTGCTAGTTCTTACATAAGAAAAGTCTTTACTTAGGTTTTACATGTACCTCAACCACCTCTAAGCCACTTTTTGCCATAAGCAATAGACACAGCGGCTCACTTGCGAAATGACGCTCCGTGAAATTTTGGACCCGTGCTGAGAGGAGGTGGGTTCAGAAAAACCTACTTTTCTTGAGTTCTATAGAACCAAATTTAAATTTCCATAGCGCGTTAGAGAGCTGAGAGTAGTGGCTTTTCAACGGTATCTACCTTTAGATTTTTTTCACCTACCTTGTTTGGGAGATGTTGAACAAGTGAACTCACTTTCTGGACGACCTTCGTACATGTTAACAGGTATGATACATGATTACAAGTAATCGACGGTATAGGTCGGCAATCACATAACTCGCGGAAAACGCGATTTTTCAGGAGAGGGAAAAAACTCTAGATACATTCCTCATTTTTGAAGGTAAAGGGGAAATAATTCTTAGAGACAGCAAGGATAAGATGCTTTATAAGACTCTATCATCATTTTGAATAATATTCTCGTCTGTCCGGAGAAATGACCCAAAACCGAGTTACGTGTTTGTGGAACCAACTAAGGTCCAACACTGAATTCTGAGATTCGTGGTTGGCGAATTACTGATTCAAACCTCTATTCTTTGCCGATGTTGACTGAATAAAGACTGAATAAGACTCCTCTCACTTTAAAAGTAGCCTAAAGTTCCTTTTAACAAACTTTAATTGATAGCGCATCTTTAGAATGACACCGGAAAACAATTCGACGGCGTAAGTCGGCAATCACATAACGACGGTGAAACTACCAAACCACGTATCTCGTTTGCGGTGTTTAAAAATCTATGTTCACATTTTATTTTTTTTAAGTAGACCAAATCAATATCATTCCTTGAAAGTTTTACGGAATTTTCTCCGCACAAAGAGGAAAAATCACAGACATTTTCAAGACTGGATGTTAAGTAGTTTTTCATTTAGAAAATAAAGTATGACAGGAAGTCTGCGACGTCGCAAACCGAGATACGTGGTTTGGTAGTTTCACCGTCGATAACTCATCGGTTGACGACGTCGCAGACTTTCCGTCATATTTCAATTTTTAAACGGAAAACTACTCAACGGCAATTCTTTAAAACTGCCGTGAGTTTTCTATTCTCTATGCGAAGAAAATTCTGTATAAACTGCAAGGAATGATGTCAAATGAGTCGAGGTTCTCCTTTAAAAAAAGAACGTAGAGGCGGAGATTTTCAGACACTAAGAACGAGATAATTATGTGATTGCGGACTTACGCCGTCGAATTACGAATTAAAATAAAATGATGATGAAAATAAGCGGACAATTACTCAGGTATCCGTCGGATAAGATGTCAGATGTTAAAACAATAACAATGTTTTTGTTGTTAGAAGATTTTGTGACGTACTAACTTTTAATTTTCCCTCCTAAACTGTTCACGATTCTTCCCGGGAGAGCGCGCGTTGTGTAAAAATGCGGCGCGACGGCACGAGTTATGTGTTATTGGAATTAACGCCGAGATGTGTGTTTTGAGTTCTACGTTTTTAGGTGACTTCCAGATTTTTTTCGACTGAAATATTTTGATAGCAGGTGAAAGACATCTACTACACTTCATTTCTGCAGCTAACTCAAAACCGCCAAAAAACGAGTTATGTGATTGCCGACTTGCACTGTCGAGTATGTCTTTGCATGTATACATCGACGGTGTAAGTCGGCAATCACATACTTAACTCGTTTGCGGTGTCTAAAAATCTCCGCCTCTATGTTATTTTTTTAGAGGAGAACAAATTGACTTCATTCCTTGAAGTTTTTGCAGAATTTTCTTCATACAGAGAAGAAAAATCACCGCAGTTTTAAAGATTTGCCGTTGAGTAGTTTTCCGTTTAAGCAATAAAGTATAAGAGGAAGTCTGCAACGTCGCAAACCGAGTTATGTGATTGCCGACTTACACCGCCGACATGTATTTTGTGGTTGCCTATAAGTCGGCCTATGATGGCCCCTTATCACTTGAGTCCACGTGTCCAACTCGTCATAGTTCGTATTTTTTCTTTTAAAGTTAGTGAAGAGAGTCGATTCTTGCAAGTTAGTAAATGGAGAGTTTAAATGTCTTCGTCCATGGACTCCTCGGCGAAGCAGCTTGCTTTGGTATGAACATCCATTATTATTCATGAAAAATTATTCCTGAAACATAACAAGCCAGAGGTATCGTCGTCATCGTCGTCGACGTCGAGCTAGACATCTGAGACACCTAACTCGCGATAGTACTCACCGATATTTTCCACCTGTTCTAGGTATAATTTAGTCAAAGTAAATTGTGTCAAAAATGACACTCATGACACTTTGCGATCCCAATTAATTCACTTTTTCATTTTTTAAGGATGTTATTCCTGAAGAGTCGAAGAAGTGAGGATGGGCGTGGCAGACTTTCAAAACTTTTCGGTCAAGAAAGTTCTTCTGATAATATTCTAACAACTATGCCCCAGTCTTTAAATGTAAGTATCTCACTATCAAAATCCCGTGAGGTCAATCAATACGTGGCTCAACCTCTAGGGATACTTCTACTAACAAAGGGAAGTGTGATTAATGAGTGGTTGCTAAGTTCCCAATGGACTTGTTGCAAACTTTTGCTAAAGCAAAAATAAGAGTTGTTACTCATAGAAAATGTTTCAAAAATCACGATGAGTGTATTGACAAAGTCTGAAATGCACTCCTGACTTCACAATTTGCATAAGAAATTTGCGTCTTTTCGAGCCTCCCGCCTCAAAAACGATACCACGGCATAAGTGAACATTTCGTTAGAGGAGTCATTCCATCCAACCCCTGCTTTCAAAAGATATACAGGGTTATCCAAAAGTCACCTACCACCCCTGTAACTTTTTTCGTAATTGAGATAGAAGTTTGAAACTTTGGTAATGTTCCTCGGTTTAAGGTAGCAACTTTTTGGTCCCCCCAAACTTTTGGGGGCGGCCCCCCTTAAGGGGGGCGGGGGTTAACTTTTTTTTTCAAAACGCAACCCCCCTTTTGTGATACCTCATTCGGAAGATAAATAAAAAAGAAAATTTTTGGCGCAAACCGCAGGTAAAATGTTGATTTTTGACAAAATGGCGGCCGGTCAAAGTTTAAAATGGCGGAAATTTGGCATCTCCGTTTTTTATCGGCGGATTGGTCTGAAACTCAGAATCCCAGGGTTTTTCGGGACGAGAAAAACGATTCTGGCATTACTTTTCCGGAAATGTCAGTCCTTTTCAAAATGGCGACGGTTAAAATGGCGGCTTAGAGTGGGAAGTGGATATTTAGGCTGCTTATCGTCGGATTTGTATGAGACTTGGTATCCGGGGGTATTTCGGCACGAGAAGAACGAATCTTTCATTGGATTTTTGAAATTTTTAAAAACTTTTAAATGGCGGCGTAAAAATGACGGAAAATCTATATCACGGCTATTTACCGATGGATTTGCACAAAAGTCAATACTCTGGTAGTTTTTGGCTCGAAAAAAATTAATCTTTCAATAAATTTTTGAAACACTGAATATCGTCATAATGGTGGCGGAAAAATAACGGAAAATCCGCATCCACCATCGGCATTCGCATTTTTGCCGCCATTTTAAAGTATTTAAAAATTTCAAAAATCCAATGAAAGATTCATTCTTCTAATGCCGAAGTACCCCCGGATACCAAGTCTCATACAAATCCGACGATAAGCAGTCTAAATATCCACTTCCCGCTCTAAGCCGCCATTTTAACCGCCACCATTTTGAAAAGGACTGAAATTTCCGGAAAACTAATGCCAGAATCGTTTTTCTCGTCCCAAAAAACCCTGGGATTCTAAGTTTCAGACCAATCCGCCGATAAAAAACGGAGATGCCAAATTTCCGCCATCTATACTATAAGCTCCAAGACCTCCTAATTTTGCGAAACTGGTAACGCTTAGTTCCAGCATTCTACCGGGCCCATTTTCATGATTTTTGCGGCTATCGACGGGCAATTGTCTCTAGATAAGCCAACTCTTTTCAGATTTTGAAAATATGGCCCAGGTTTTTTTATATTACGTGGTAAAGTTGCGAATTCTCCCATTTAAACAATGTAAATTTATACTTTTTGTCATAGTTCGTTTGAGCGTTCTACCGGGCCGATTTCCATGATTTTTGCGTAAATCGACAGGTAATAGGCCCTAGATGAGCCCGCTTTAATCAGATTTTGGAAAAAGGACCCAGGTTTTTTTAAAATCACATTATAAAAGTGAGTGTTTTTACAGAATGCTCTGGTACTGCTACCGCTATGCGCGGGAGGATGCGCAGTGGTTGAGGAGGTTTCGCAGTAGCTGTGTAGCCTGCGCATCACCTCTGCACTTATCTACACAAGATTCGCGCCGACGATCTCAAGTCGAGCGGTGGTCGAGTCGCCTAAGACGGCAAATGCGTCCACTTTGAACTCAATGTAGGTTCGATCCCCGACTCATGAAACCTTAATTATTACCTGACTATCATTGTTCATTGTTTTACTGCAATATTTCATCAAGCAGTCATTCCAAAACGCGTCCTTTTAATTTTAAAGTAAATTTAAGTAAAGTTTAAAATTAAAGTATACCTCATATCGTAATTTTTTAGGGGGAAAATAAAACTAACACTGATAGGAGGGCAAAAATAGGGCCGCGAAGCGGCCCATTGATGGCGCGGAGCGCCTTCAGGGGGTTGGGCCGCGTAGCGGCCAGGGGGCATAGCCCCCTAGTTTTGAACTTTGACCGGCCGCCATTTTGTCAAAAATCAACATTTTGACCTGCGGTTTGCATCAAAAATTTTCTTTTTTATTATCTTTCAAATGAGGTATCACAAAAAGGGGGTTGCCGTTTGAAAAAAAAACAATTAACCCCCGCCCCCCAAAATTTTGGGGGGACCAAAAAGTTGCTACCTTAAACCGAGGAACGTTCCCAAAGTTTCAAACTTCTATCTCAATTAGGAAAAAAGTTACAGGGGTGGTAGGTGACTTTTGGATAACCCTGTATACTACGCAATATTCAACATAGCCGACGCCAATCCACCAAAACACATGTGACGGGACGATGATTCTAACCACCTGATAACATTTCTTACGTTGATAGCTATCCGCCTTGATTGACTCGTGCTCTCTTCAACTGGCGCGCGGAAGCGTCGCATAGTGCTGCGACCCATTGACAAAAGTCAAAACTTCAACTTTAATTATGGGTTTAGATGTTTGATAGAATGATAAGATAGACAATCGGATGACGTTATCTAGGTGTTTGTTTAACAAGACATGTATCGTGTGGAGCGGGGAAAGGGGGAAAGACAAGACACCTGCGCACACGCTCTTACTGCAGGAGCGGAGCGCTACTATTTATCATCATGTTGTGATTATTATGTTAATGCAATTGCAATTTCAAAGAAGAGGAAAATAAATCTTGTAAGAGGATAAGTAATCCTTCATTAATATATTTTTATTCAATTTTTTGGGTCATTTTTAAAGCATTTTACCGTCGTATTTTAGAAGGTACTTGAAAACCTCCATTTTCGTCGGTTTCAAATGTTTGAATGGATATTCCAAAAATATATATAAATATATCGCTAGAAAACGCATGTAAGGTAGAAAATTTTATTTAGTTTTAGAATCCGTCAAAAGTTGGGCCTGATACCCCCCGAAACTCAAAATATCAACATTTTTTTCATGGCAGGTCGATTCATAATTTAACCAAATATTGACTTTCTATATCTTGATGTACCAATCAATATTTGCTATTGATGTGTTTTAAGCACGGAATGGGACCACATGGACTACCGATCCGTGTAGATATTATATTAAACAGCATTTACCAAGCTCAGCTTTATCGCCCCCTCTCCTCCCATCCTCTCTTCCTCTCATATATGCGCACAGTGCAGCGACCTTATGGGCGCTGCACTGTGCGTCGGCCATGTTGAGCAGGGATTGAATGAAACGACTCTTCTAACGAAATTTTCACCTGTGCCGTAGTATCATTTTAGAGGTGGGAAGCTTAAAACAATGCAAATTTCTCATGCACATTGTGAAGTTAGTAGTGCATTTCAGAGTTTGCAGATGCGCTCATCGTGATTCTTGAGACATTATTTCCATGGAATAACTCTCATTTTGGCGCGTATACGTAGTATACCACCTTTGCGATTGTTTCGAGCCCCCACTCGATACAATAACCGAGTCCCTTAGTTCCTTACCGAAAAGTGACTACCGCAAACTTCTGAGATTTTCCAAAGCGTGTAAAAAGTTTATTTATCCGTCCATAATTATGATTTAAAGTTGTTTTTCATTCTGGGGCTTTCTAGTTTATGTGCAGTGAATACCAAGAGTCTACATTACTTGGTTTCTGTAAAAAAAGCCTAAGAATGCGCAGCGCTGATTTAAAATATGCATAGGTATATAAGCAGGAGCAAACGAACTGATTCGAGGATTGCTGAGCAAGTCTGCACTCTTCGAATGAGAATGTCACTCTTCCGTTATGTTTAAAGCGTTGCAAAGACAGATAGGTGCACCCCTGTTATGCTTTTCAAAATTTGGTACCACTGCTTTGATAGCCAAGGCCAGGCAGGACAGCCGTAAGTGCAATCTGTGATGAGCCTCGAGACTCATTAGATTCATGTGCTAACCGTGGCCCATACAGAAATTCACTCCCCTATTAGGCCAAAACAGTGCACAGGCAGGCACAAACCCAGGCAGTGTCCCGATCGTGGCTCGGTTCGCCGCGTCGCTTCCCAGCTGAAGAACAAAAGGCGACCCTCGGCACGGTCGACAAAAATCAGACCTAATTACTTTCACTCGATTACCCATTTCACCGTCACGCCGGGATCATGGGAAATTTTCCAAAAAATTGTTTCGCGTGTATTTAGCAATTTTTTCCTCATTTTCCGTTAAAACACGAATAAAATGAGGCCTCATTCATAAAAATCGGCCGAATAGAAGAGAAGTTACATTATTCGAAATCCGAAGAAATCCTTAAAACCTCGATTTCTCGAAACAAAAAATAAAATGAAGGGAAACAAAGAAATGTATAAATTACAATTAAATATAACTGACCTCAGAATTTGACAAACAATTAATTTATATAACGGAGAAAAAATTGAGAGAAATTACAAAAAAATCTCCTCTTGCAAGGGGCTTCCTTATAAGAATTTTGACCTGAAAACAAGGGTTGAATAGCAGCAGTACTCCATATAGTGGGGCCGATAAGTGGAAAATATCATAACAATCGTGCACTTCTGGAAGAAAGCATGAAAATTTCAGGGATTCATCTCTACCCTATAGACTTTCGATTTAGACATAGACCCAAAAATCTGAGCCCCCTGGGGGGGCAGGGGGCCCCCAAATTTAGAATTTCGTATAACTACTGAACGGCTAATGTTAGCGTAATTTTTTTACAGCAGGACGATGGGAAATTTTATTAGGAACAAAACGGTTCTCATGAATTTTTCTGTGGGATCGATATTTAAGGCGTGAAACGGGAAAAACCATCGGGTGACGGGGAGCCGGCCGTTCTGAGGCAGATCTGCGCACTGCGCTGCCTGCCCGGGACGCGAGCGGCGGCGGAGTACGGTGTTCCCGATGAAACAGCCGCTTGTCTCGGTTTAATCTCAACGGTGCGCAGTTTTAAAAATAATTATGAATGTACTGTACTGCCTAAATACTTTTCCATAGTGATATAAGCCCTCTTTTTTATTAGTAACACATAAAAACAAGCAAAAGGCGAAATACTCCAATGCGAAAGCGCCGAGTCAATAAGAGAGGCCGGTCATCGCGCATTACGCGTCTTGTTTTCTCTGAATACAGAGCTTTTCCGATCTAAGTACAGAGTGTATTACCCTTTCCTCACGTAAGTTTTGTAAAGGATTATATTTCAAGATATTAGAGCGAAATAACAAGTTTTAATATACGATTTTGACCCACTTTTTAATGACTATTGGAAATGGCGGATCCTTGATATCTTATTTTTAGTTTATTTTCCACGTTACTTTCGGCTGCTTACATAAGCAAGAATTTTGCAAAACTTGATGCTAAGACATTACTTGAGGAGTAAAGAGGGGGGCTTCACATTCCCTTCGCCACCAAGGTTTCCAGATTTCCTTCATCCCTGTAATATCGTTTTTCGTTTATGTTCATCGGTTTCTCGCAATTGCACAGGTTACATACGAAACATTCCGACAATGTTCTTTTCTCCTCTTTTTTCCTCCAGCCAGCCAATAGAAGTTTTCATTTTCATGAACTCCCCACTCTTTCAGTTATTCAACAAATATGCATATTTCAAAAAATAGAACAATATATTATAATTAATAATAAAATAGTGTATTTCCTTCGGAAAATACACTAAAAGAAGATATCTGAATTCTATCGCTTCTTTTTATCGAGTCACCCTTGAAGATATTATTGGTACTTTCCACGAGACATAAAAAATGGAATGAGTAGTAAAAAAATCCATGTATATTATCTTTCATTTTGTTCTACGGAGTTTGGAGTGGAGTTGGTAAAATTTGTATTGAAAAAAATATTAATGTAGGAGGACATTTATTTATCATGCAGGTTCTGAGCCTTTAAAGAACTTTGAGAAGGACCAGTACGTCAGGAAGAAATTCATCGCATTTCTTCTTTTTCGACCCACCAAATCTCGTACCGATTTTTTATTTGTAAGTATGTCGGAGAAAATTGTCAAGAAACGGGACTTGCAAAATATGCAGTGCACAAAACGTACAGACGTACACCTTAAACTTTATCGTACAGTATGACACTGATCGAATTAGGTTTAGAGATTATCAAAAGGTTAATTTCTCGTCAAAATATCAACAAATCAGTCAAAATCAGTAATCATTAATCAGTTGCAAAATTACCGAGATTGCGGGATATCGAATGATGCGCGATTTAATCGATGACATAAGAACAGGATAGGTCCCCAGTAGGCGCGACTTCCTATCACTCAAATGGACCGTTTTTGCAGATTAGCGGATATTGGCGACTATTTATTACTTAATAATATTCTTTGTACTGTACAGGAAGCAGTCCAACAAATGTTTTTTGAGGGTCTTTTTTCCCTATCAAGCTTTCTCAAGATTCTTTTGGCGTTTTTTCGGAGCAAGTTTTGAAGGTGGTTTTGGTCCTCTTAAAAAATGCCTACTTATACGTAGCAATAATGTACCAATATGTTCCTTAAAGAGAGGAGAATAAGCATGTTTTTAAGTATACTCATTTTTTACAAAATTAGTTTCCTTGTCTTAAAAGTCTGGCTGGAAGCCGTCTCCCGGGAACTTTAGGGTATGTAAGCATATTTAGATATCATTCTGGTGGCGCAGCACCGAATAAAGAAGGGAGAGAAAAAAAAACACTTTAAAATAATTTATCAGGTCATCGAGGTTAACAAAAAAGATATGTGATTTTTAGTCCCACCCCCCCTCTTCGCGAGGCAACTGTGCGTCAGATTTTATTCCGTTCAACTGATGTCTGATACAGTTATCTCAGATGCTTTAATAAAAATTGACAAACCCGTACAACAAAACATCCCCGAACTCCAGCACTTAGCCCCTTCTCCTTCTTCTTCTTTTGCCGTGCGCTCAATTGTATACATATATTACCTGCAAAAATTAAGCCCTATTTTAAGGCTTTATAGGTAGTACAATTTATTTATAATATTTTTAAAATTGCGCACCGTTGAGATTAAACCGAGACAAGCGGCTATTCCGTCGGGAACACCGTACTCCGCCGCCGCGCGCGTCCCGGGCAGGCAGCGCAGCGGCGGATCTGCCTCAGAAAGGCCGGCTCCCCGTCCCCCGATCGTTTTTTCCGTTTCACGCCTTAAATATCGATCCCACAGAAAAATTCATGAGAACCGTTTTTGTTCCTAATAAAATTTCCCATCGTCCTGCTGTAAAAAAATTACGCTAATATTAGCCGTTCAGTAGTTATACGAAATTCTAAATTTGGGGGCCCCCCTCCCAGGGGGCTCAGATTTTTGGGGTCTATGTCTAAATCGAAAGTCTATAGGGTAGAGATGAATCCCTGTAATTTTCATGCTTTCTTCCAGAAGTGCACGATTGTTACGCTTATCGGCCCCACTAATACAATACACGGTGTGCCTGAACGAACGTAATTTTTTTGTCAAAATCGAAAATTCTTTATATTTTTTAACTACAGTGTCTCTTGAGTCGTTTACGCCAAAACAAATTCTGTCAAGATTCTGGAAAGTAAAGGCGCTTTAAAAGTATTCTGGGGCGATAATAGCTAAATCACGGGTAGTAAATCCCGTTATATTATTAAAAAGAAATTGACTCCATAGTTCCATAGCTCCATAGTAGTAGTAGTTGAATACGATTATTTTAATGACTCCTCTTGAACGAGCCGTACGCTGGTTTCCAGAGAGTATGGAAGGTTCTATACTCTCTGCTGGTTTCGTATGGAGTATATCGTCCCCTTGATGCTGGGAACGGCAAAGCCGAGGCCCGTCGCCATCACTCGCGCGATCAGGAGAACCTCATCCTGCATGCACCACTGGTTACAAGCGTAAGTATTTCGGCGTGTAGACAGATTAAGACGGCAGGATGAATCGGGCAGTTTAGGACAGGATTATCCAGGGGAGGAGAGCCAGGGTAGAGAGAGTATTTCAAAGGTAAACATGCACCGGCTTTATGTCACCATTGTGAAACGTGCGTGCTGTATGGTAGTGAAGTGTGGCCTTTAACGAAGCGAATGCAATGCATGTGGAAGGCAACTGAAATGGATTTTTGGCGGCAATCTGCCCGCATCTTGAGACGGGACCGTGTTCGTAATGAGAAAACTCGCCAGGTAATGATGGCTAAAGGTTAATATCATACCCAACAACACGTCCAGATGGTTTGTGTGATACTTATGTGAGGGAGGCTACCGCTGCGATAAGCGGGCGGTGGATCTGCGCGGTGCGTCGCGCGGGGGGAGGAATTCCTAGCACGAATTTTCGGCAATTTTTGGCGCGCGCGATTTTTATGTCCACGATTGAAAGGTTTAACACGCTTTTGCCCCTCTTCCACATGTTTCAATTTTCAAATACATAATTTGGAGTAATTTGCAATTAAACACACAAAAAAGGAAAAAGAATTGTTCGTTACCTTACCAGTTTATAGCAAGTGTTCAAATTGTCGACCTTCTGCGATTTCGAAAATGTTTCGGAAATTGTCATTGCGAAATTGAAGAGGGTCGGCAATTTGAACACTTGCTATAAACTGGTAAGGTACCAAACAATTCTTTTTCCTTTTTTGTGTGTTTAATTGCAAATTACTCCAAATTATGTATTTGAAAATTGAAACATGTGGAAGAGGGGCAAAAGCGTGTTAAACCTTTCAATCGTGGACATTTTGGGAATCAAATGACCATACCCGTTTTCCCCGAACTAAGAAACTGCCCTGATTTCGTTTTTGAGCGACTCCATTGATTAACAGCCGAAAAACTGGGTCTCGACCGGTTTTACGCCGCCAATTTGAAATGAAGCAAAGATTTTGAAAATCCAATGCTAAATTCGTTTTACCCGACCCCAAAAACCCCCGGATACCAAATTCCAAGTCGAATCTTTGATGTAAGTCAGAATACCGATTTTCGACCCGTTTTAGGCTGCCATTTTGTTTCAATGATAGGTAGAGGCTTCCGCTTTGCGCAAAAAGTTTTCATTTTGTATGCCCTCTTGAATGACTTGTCGAAAGATGGGGGTTGCCATTCGAAAAAAAAAGTTAGGGTAGGTGGGGGGCCCCCTTGGTCCCCCCAAAAGTTTTGACCCCCTCAAAAGATAGTTTCTTTTGGTCTAGGTACTTACCACAAAGCTCGTTTCTCTAACTCCAGCCGTTCAAAAAATATCCAGCCGTCTCTAGAGTTTTGCCTCATCTTGTATATTTACTTGAAGACTCAAAATTTCTTTGTTCTTCTTTATGAATTTCAAATCCTCTTGTTCAGGTTCATGGATGTCTTGAAATGATTTATTTCAAGTTCTTTTTTGTTTCTTTGCAGGTTAAAAATAGTGATCGCCGGTTTTGGAAGCAGTTCAGAAGAAAAAAACAAACAAATAGTTAACACGTGTAAAACGTCATTGTTGACTCTCATTTTGATTCTTATGTGCGACTTTCCTTAAAAATTATCCCGGATAAATGTAACTTGAACCCATGCATTTCAGACCTATTATATCACTCAGATCAATTTTTTGGAGAGGAGCGACCCTAGTAGCCAAAATGTGCGTAATATTACGTATAGTCAAATCTCAAAAACCTATTAAGTAGGGTCATAAATGGCTGTAAATAGATACATATATAATTTTTCTTTAAAATATCGCATAAAGTGTCCTTCTTTTGGGTATTAAATACTATATAAAAGATATCTAGAATGGGTTACATGAAAAAGCCTTGGCAAGCAAGTCGGGACAAAAAGTAAGTAGAAGGCCGAGCAATAATGATCAAGCAGCTTTCCCTTGTAACGCAAAGACGTAAAATATACGGGGGAAAAATCGTGAAAAAGACGTAAGATAGACCAAAAATGAAATGCCATCGTAGCACTTTTCACAAGAATAGTTCGTAAAGAATGTGAGTTTCTTTACGTAAAAAGATCGAGTTTCTATACGTTATAAGTAAAAAAAACTCTTGCCTCCTAAAATTGATTGTATTGATAAGTCGTAAAGAAAAGAATAGACTGTACGCAAATTTAGAGCTGTTGCCATTTATTTCTTATTTAGAGTCCCTTTATACCCAGAGTTAAGACAACTCGATTATCAGCTGACTGGCAGCCGGCCTTGGCTGGCCATGGAGGCCGAAACGAGTGCACCCAAACGAACGATATTGAGGGATAAGGATCAGGAATCCTGCGATGTCTGTCACACAAAAACAACAACATCAACAAATTGATCAATTAAAAAGAAAATGAGATTGGTTTGTGAATAATTTCTTAATCTATTTTCATTTTGGACTGATGACAATAACGCAATTTACTCTTGATAAACCACAATTAGGAAATATTTTCATTATTCTTGTTCACATTCAAGGTACCGCCATCTTGGTGCACTCGTTTCGGCCTCCATGAGCGAGAACCAATCAGAATTGGATTTTTTTTATGCCACTTTCAGCCCAACCAAAAGTGAGTTGTCTTAACTCTGGGTATAAAGGGACTCTATTCTTATTGTGATCATTACTCTATACAGGGTGATCCAAAAGTCCCTTCCACCCCCTCTAACTTTTTACCTAATTGAGGTAAAGATTTGAAACTTTGGGGATATTCCTAGATCAAAGGAAGCTACTTTTTGGGCCCCCTAAAATTTTCAGGGGGGCCCCCTTGGGGGGGCAACGGCCCCCAACTTTTAATTTTCAAATGGGAAGACCCCTCTTTGAGATAGCTCGTTCGAAAGAGCATAAGAAAAGAAAACTTTTCGCGCAAACCCGAAGTCAATATCTCAAACCGTTTCAAAATGGCGGCCGGTTAAAGTTCAAAATAGCCGGAAATTCACACCGGTTATTTGTCGATGGATTTGCGCGAAAATCGGTATGTACGGGTATTTTGACACGGGAAAAACGAATTTGACGTTAGATTTACAAAAAAACCGAAATTCCCAAAATGGCCGCTGGTTGAAGCTCAAAATGACCAAAAATTGATTTTTTTAGAAATCTAAGTTCAAATTTGTTTATCTTATGCCAAAATACTCTCAAATTCCAAGTTTTAGGCAAATCCATCAGCGAAAAACCGAGGTGACAATTTTCGGCCATTTTAAACTTTAACCGGCGGCCATTTTGGAAATTTCGGTTTTATTGAAAATCTAACGTCAAATTTGTTTTTCCCGTGTCAAAATACCCGTACATACCGATTTTCGCGCAAATCCATCGACAAATAACCGGTGTGAATTTCCGGCCATTTTGAACTTTAACTGGCCGCCATTTTGGAACGGTTTGAGATATTGACTTCGGGTTTGCGCGAAAAGTTTTCTTTTCTTATGCTCTTTCGAACGAGTTATCTTAAAGGGGTTCTTCCCATTTGAAAATTAAAAGTTGGGGTCCGTAGCCCTCCCCCCCCCCAAGGGGAAAAAAATTAAAATTAGCCCCTAAAAAATTAGAATTAGCCCCTTGAAAATTTTAGGGGGGCCAAAAAGTAGCTCCCTTTGACCTAGGAACATCCCCCAAGTTTCAAATATTTACCTCAATTAGGTAAAAAGTTAGAGGGGGTGGAAGGGACTTTTGGATCACCCTTTATACAGCTGCTGCACATGCTCACTTTACCGGCTTGTACGTTATACAAACGTACGGCCATTAGAATGAATGGGGATTTTAAGCGCCAGTGACGTCAGCGGTGACGTCCGGGATGGACGAGCTCGTCGCTCGTTCTCGAGGCGCTTTAACTCATGAGCCCTGTCCCTAACGCTCTTGTCACATGTCCACGGCTTACAAGTTAGTGCTCAGTTCCATTTGATTTAATGTATAATCCCGTTTTTACATTTTTTCGAAAGGAACTATGTCCGCTTTTACATTATTTCTTATCCAGCTTCCACGAGCACACCACATCTTTCCACTCGCACATAGTTCCATTATTACTCTACATAAAGCTGTTGTTACCACTCACTCTGCCCCCCCCCCCACCATCTACTAAAAAGTTCCCATTAGAATGACACGTGATTACATGCACTCTCATGAGAAATGGACATGTGACCCGTGTGCTCTCATGAGAATGACACGACATCACATGTGCTCCCCTGAGAAATGGACTTGTGACCCGTGTGCTTTCATGGGAGCTAACATGTGACCCGTGTACTCCCCAGCAGCGGCCCGATTATTGAAACTATGTCAGCCCGACACGACAAGACATAGCCCTATCTCACCCATGCAATATATCGCAATTCGATGTCTTATCGGCCTGGTTTAAATTTCAATAATCGGCCCGCTGGTAGCCGATATGTGACCTGTGAGCTCCCATGGGAGCGGACATGTGACCCATGTGAGTATACATGTGATCCATAAGTGGTCTCGTAGGACCTCTCACAGTGTCTCGCGGATCATCATAGAACTTCAGGGGAAATACCGTGGGCCCATATGTGACGCGCGCCCTGCTAAAAATTTCCATGGTATTCCGTGCTGTTTCTCACGGAATTCCATGGCGAAGACACGGAACTCCATGGAGAAGGCACAAAACTTCACGGAGACTCCATGGAGGAGACACGGAGACTCCATGGAGGAGACACGGACCTCCATGATGACACCTTGGATTTCCATGGTGTCTACATGGAATTCCATGGTGGCAGCAGGAGATTACGTGATGGCTACATGGAATTTCAAGGGAGGGTCACGGAATAGCAAAGGACATATGCATTGGAACGCCGTGAAACATTTGAGACCACCACAAGAATTAACATGGTAGGCTGTAAGTCTTTGATCATTGACCATCAGCAACTATTTGCTGTTTCGTCATGCATTACAGAATTATAAGTTGAATTACTCACCGAAGTTCACAAATGAGGGCCACTAAAATGTTTCACGTCATCAGTTATGACAGAATAAGTCTTGATAAGTGCAATGAAATTTCTACAACCATGGCATTCCCAAGACAATGCCCACTGAGGGCTCAATAATTCAACAAGTAGTACCAGCAAGTACCAGTTACTTTTTGCACGGAGAAAGTTTTCATTTAAAATATGATCAACTTAGAGATTTGCTAACTCATTGGTTGACAAAGATGTAATAATAAATTGTTGCTTATACTCTATTTAAGACAACTGAAATGACCGCAATAGTATGTCAAAAAACAGAAAACACGCAGCTTCTTCGAACCACGCATACAAGGTATAGGCACAGCTTTAAAGTCTGTCAATTATACAGGGTGATCCAAAAGTCCCTTCCACCCCCTCTAACTTTTTACCTAATTGAGGTAAAGATTTGAAACTTTGGGGATATTCCTAGATCAAAGGAAGCTACTTTTTGGGCCCCCTAAAATTTTCAGGGG